TGTTCAGAAAAAAACAAGATTGGTAGGTTGGCTTGTTCAGAAAAAAACAAGTTTTGGTAGGTTGGCTTGTTCAGAAAAAACAAGATTGGTAGGTTGGCTTGTTCATAAAAACAAGATTGGTAGGTTGGTCTATTTTTAAAAACAAGATTGGTAGGTTGGCCTGTTCAGAAAAAACAAGATTGGTAGGTTGGCCTGTTCAGAAAAAACAAGTATTAGGTAGGTTGGCTTGTTCATAAAACAAGATTGGTAGGTTGGTCTATTTTTAAAAACAAGATTGGTAGGTTGGCCTGTTCAGAAAAACAAGATTGGTAGGTTGGCTGTTCAGAAAAACAAGATTGGTAGGTTGGCCTGTTCAGAAAAACAAAGATTGGTAGGTTGCCTGTTCAGAAAAACAACTCATTTACATTTTAACAACACAGGGCAGACAACTACCCAGCACACAAATCTAGACGACACAGTTGCCTCCCTCACATGTAGCATATGATGTGAGTGAAGTATTTTAAATACAACACTACACACATCGTCAACAGTTTTACAATGACTAAGCCTTCAAAAAGAAAAAAAACACGCATGCCTGCTTTGTATTTAATAATGAAAAAAAAAAAGTTGGGGTGGGTGTGTGTGGGGGGGGGGGGGGGATGAAATCTGAATCAATTTTTAAGAATCATTATCGATGTGCTGAAAGCTAATTTAGTCTACAAAATATGCCATCACGCCAATGCGTACATATAATAATAGAATAAACAATTAGAAGAAGATAATTAAAAAGATGTAGCCTGTTATTTCTTAAATCGTTAATGAATTTTTAATTAAACCTGGGAAGGGGGGAACCTGGGAAGGGGGGGGGGGGGTGATCTCCGCGCTTGATGAGTCATGGGGTACATAGTCTTCACTAAATAGGATGTCAAACTTAGCAAGGTGTTTTTTAATCAAATTACATACTTGCATGTATAAAGAAATCTCAATTTGGAGAATGTTAATTAAATGTAGGGTGTGTGTGTGGGAAGGGGGGGGGGAGTGTAGTTTCACGTGGTGGTGACCGGGTGAGGAATGTAATAATACAACACAGACACCTATATAATTTGTTGGACTGTTCAGGCACTTTAGTTAGCCAATATCTTTGAGTGTATTCCTTGCAGTGAATTGCACCATATTCCCCCTCAGTGTTTCTTTCAGGAATTTTTCTACGCACTTAAATATACGGGGGTGTGGGGGGAGGGGCAGCCACTGTTTAAAGTATATATTATCTATATAAATGTATATATTTTTTCTTTTTCGTTCGGTGACGGTGGAGCAAGTGCCCCCCCCTCCCCTCCCCAAACAGATGCCTTAAAGAAAACTCTGTACCCCTATCCCTATTTCTAGTGCTTGTATCGCAAAAAGGATAGAGTCAAAAGTTATGGTTAAATATCCTTGGGCCAAACCGTGTTGGAACTGCTCGCGAATCCATTGCAAGAGATGAAAGTACTCACTAAAAACGATCTTTAAAAAAATACTTTTTCTATTTTAATATCTGATTAAAATTTTTAGCGAAAGCAAACCAGCAACAAATATGTACAAAAAAGTAACAATTAAATAAGGTCAAGGATTTTATTTGCTTTTAAGTAATCTATTATTTAATATTTAAAATTTCCAATTGATAACGATTTGGACTAGAAGTATAACAATCTTTTTTTAAGCACAGGGGATTTCCCACAAGTCAGCTGTCTAAAATGACGTCAACATCAACACATCGATTTTACATGTTTTCACCGAGGAGAAGCTATTTTTGCTATAAATAGCCTTGTGTAATACGAATAGCCTCAGACATTCATGGGCCTATCCAGAGTTTCTTCCAGGCATCTTCCCCCCCCCCCCCCCCAACGAAATGAAATTTATATAATTTATATAGAAAATATATACTTTTAACAGTGTCCGCCCCCCCCCCCCAAAGAAAGTCTATCGCCCCCCACCCCCCCACCCCCCCAAAAATGTCAAGTGCCCCCCGGGGAAAAAAGTCTGGAAGAAAACACTGGGCCTATCTTTATTTTTGTCTGTATTACAACTGCAGCCGTATTGTATGATACTCCAGTTGGCAGACACACAAAATAAGTAAAGTTTGTTGAACAATAATAGTGACCTTCGTTATGCCTTGATGCACCACACTTCAAGTTTACCCCTTAGCACCCATGTCTACATCACTGCTGGCCTCAGTTGTTTCATAGTGCCTCCTGTGTGGCTCAACATAAAAAACACGCCCCTCAAAGCAGAGGCATAGCGAGGGCGGGGCGGGGGGGGGGGGGGGTGTGGACCGCACCGAATGACACCATTTAGGGGGTGACACCAAGGCAAATAAAAATCGTAAAAATGTACAGAAGAAAATTGCTTCTTTCTCGGTTCCATAATGATTAATTAAAGTTAAATAGTCATTTTTAAGTACTAACTATAGAGAAATCAATTCTACATCCCAACTGTATTATTAACAGACTATAGATAAACATCGTTACTATTAAGTCTGCTGTGATTAAAGTTTATACCAGGGGTCTTTTGGCTCTTCCGCTTCAAAAGGTTGCCGACCCCTGGTTTATACACCATACATATGTACACATACAGATACATGTTTCTCTGGGTGGGGTGGGGTGAAACCACGAAGTGCCGCACCGGGGTGACATCCGACCTAGCGACGCCCACTGCCTCAAAGTAAAATTAGTGACATCGACAAATGGGTGACGTGAGAAAGGCAGCTGCTCATGGGGTGGGGGGTGGTGGTGGGGGGTTCTTACCCACCTAACACCCCTGCCTATAAGTTAAATTTCCCTTTTCAAACTTGACGGTCCATGGGGCAAGTGAAGTAGAATTCACCTGTTTCTGTGACCTCGGCATTTGAAGGATAGTGCGGGTCAGCACCTATTCCCAGCCGCCTTTACTTATCCTAACGTGTGTTCGGTACCCATTAGAGCTGAGTGGACTCAAGGACGTGAGAAAGCACAGCTTACCATGAAAAATGGAGGGGGTGGATTCCTAACACACCTCACACCTCTGCATATACCGCTGACTATATAAATTAATTAAATAATCAATTAAATTAACCGTTACATTAAATAAAATATCAGCTAGGCAAAAGACATTTTCATTCCGCTTAGCAGGCATAAGTGAGACCACAAAGCAGTTTATGACAATATAATTGTAGGCCTATGTATTACAGAATAGACCAGGGGCATTAATGAATAGCAAGAGATACAATCGTAAACAGCTACGTATAATAACGATACTATAGAGTTTCTACTATTCCTACATTACTGGTAAAAAACAAAAGTTGTATGTAAACAGTTAATCTACGTCACGTATATGACACTGAAACAGAGGCGTAGCGACCCCTTCCCGGCGCCCCGGGGACAAATTTTTCTCGATTTGCACCCCCCTCAAGATTTTGATTTGCACCCCCCTCAAATTTTTTATTTGCATCCCCCTCAAACTTTCGATTTGCACCCCCCTCGACCTTTCAATTTATTTTTCCAACCCATTTTGGCGCCCCCTAAGGTCGGCGCCCGGGGGACATATGTCTCCCCCCCGCCCCCCCCCCCCCCCCCGCTACGCTACTGCACTGAAACAGTTTCTTTCAGGGCATATCATGTGTGCGTATGTGTGTGTGTGTGTGTGTGTGTGTGTTGGTGTCTATGCCTAAATAAATGATAAAGAATCCGTAAATTTATTATTCCAGAATTTCTAATTGGGGGCTCCACATAAAATGAGGAGGGGGGGGAGGATAACATAGTTGGTGATTCCGTAGGAGTCATCCATAAAAGACATAACGCTTTTTTTTGGGACGATTTTCACCCCCCCCCCCCCCCCCCACCCTCCATCTCCGCCACACAACGTCACAAAAAAGTCAGACCAACCCCCTCTAAAATGTCGTCACACTTCAGCCTACAACCGAGTACAACCCCCTTCCCCTCAAAATATAATTTTTTACATCGATTTTTTTTTCTAAAATGTTCTCTGAGCTCGTTCAACTTAGAGTATTTTAACCATTTCTATTACAATTAATTAAAACAGTTTTGCTAAAATGAGAAATAACGGATAAAATTCAAGTTTCCCACATTTAAAAAAAAATGCAAAAGTCTGAAGTACCTATCTGAACCTTCCTGTCCCCTCATCACACATCGTCACCAAATAACAGCTCCTTCCTCCCCCCCCCCCTACTGTGTGACTTGTGACATCATTTATGAACGACCCTCTATATCTCTCTGATCCATCTCTAAAACACTCTCATGACGACACTGCTTACAGCGTAGGCCCTACATTTTTTTAAAGAATTCGACGATAAGCCTTTCTTTATTATTTAACTAGCCAAAATTACTCTGACACTTTTCCAAATAGTTTTTACCTACTCACACGTTAATAATAATTGTTTTCTTCTGTGCACTTTTGTAATGTGCTACGGTAGGCCTAATGCCAGAATAAAAAGTGAGGTCGATCGATTGCCGGCAAACCCACAAACTATCCAATCAAAGTGCAGAGATTTTGGGGGCGTCGTCAACGTCCTTGACGATTTTTGCTGTTAATTATTTATGTGTTTACTTTCTGCTTGCCCTATTTGTTTGTTTACATTTAAGTTCACAATTTCCAAAACTTTGTTTTGTTTTCTAACTCTACAAGTTATTTAATAGTAGACCTATGCAAGAATCCACAGAAGATGCTGACCTCATTAAATCCAATTTAATAATAATTTAATTTAATGAAAAGTTGAAATTGATAATACAATTATAATGCATATTATTACAGTAATTTGCTTGTATTTAATATTTTAGCTCTTTGAAATTGGGGTTTTAAATAATGAGAAATTTGTTTGATATAGATCATGATGTAGATCTATTTTTCAAATAAGATAAGAGAGGCCTACGTGTAGCATGGCTATAAAATGGTTAAATACTAAAGCGGGATAACCTGACTTCAATAATTTTAATTGTTTTTAAGAGTGATTGCCCTTACGTGCTTTACATTGAATAAAATGAGGACTTGGATTTTTGACCGAATTTTTTTGCAAACATAGATCTAGATCTAGATAAAATGGATATTTTAGTTATTTAAGCATTTATTTGCAGGTAAAGCAACACTGCATTGATTTTGCACACATGTGGCATGGCCTATAAGTAAACTAAATTATGTTTCAGTTAGAAATATAGAATCTTGGTCCACTTTAAGTCACTTTAAGAAGATAATTTGCTGACGAAAGATAAAAAAATTGGTCAGTTTTTCGTTTTCCCTTCGCTTGGGCTTGGGCATCTTTTGCTTCTACAAGCGTCAGTCTACTTCTTTTTCTAGATCTAGATTAGATTTAATATTACAAATAGAGCGTAATTAACATTTTACACTTCTCACATCAATTTGCATTTGTTACATTACAAATTAGATTTATAGTTTTAATTTCGGTAATCTATCGTTTTGGGTACGTAAAATCGCCCGCGGCTATTAATGTACGAAAACGTTACCTCATTGTCAAGGCTGTAATAGAAGTATATTGTGATATGTTTGTGTCAAATATTATAGATAAATGAATAATAAAACTAAATCAATGGCTAAATATATCAATATAGGCCCGAAATTAACTTTAAACAGCAGTGTCTGCAAGCAAGATTTGCTATATAAACAGCAGCCATTTGTAAAATAGAGTGACTTCCGCCTGAATCTTGCGCTATAAGTCTATAAAAATAAAACTTTAACAAAATGGCTGCTATAGTAAATGAGCATGGTTGCATCTGTTGGAAACATCGCTGGTGTTCATTTATTACTGAAAAGTTTTAATTCAATTGTTTAGAAACAGGTACATAAATGAAACAAGGAAACATTTTTGTATTTTTCAAAACATAAATCCTCCTCAAAATGTGAAATAATTATTAAAATGTAAGGAGTCACCTGTTTTTCACATTACTAGTCGCGGGCGATTTTACGTACCTAAAACGATAGATTACCTTAATTTCTAATATATATAATATAATAAAGTTAAGTAGTAAAGTACTCACTGTAACAGTAAAAGTGTTACAGTGTAGTTTAGTTAGACTTAAGAGTTTAGTGTAGGTTTAAACCTTAAAGTACCAGTGCTAGATAATAGATATACACTACAGTGACACAATATATATGACATAAAATGAGTGTATTCTGCCCTTTATAGTGTGTGTATACTTATAGCTTAATGATAAAAACTAAACATATCCTTAATTTCAAATTTAAATCCTAGTTAAGGGGTAGGGGTCTTCCATAAATGAAGTCACACTAGTAGGGGGAAGGGTGTCAGTAATTTTATGAGGGTGGGGGGGGGGGGGGGGCGATGGTGTGATGTCACACTTTTGCACTATAAAAAAGCAATGAATTTTAGTCGCTATTCCGCATTTTAGAAAACTGTTTTTAAAAATTGTAATAGAAATTGATTAAAATATTCTATGTTGACAGAGTTCAGATAAGATTTTGGAAAAATATTGTATTTTAAGAAAAATTCAACTGCAATTTTGAGGGGGGGGGGGGGGGGGGGGGTGTAGGCTAAAGTGTGATGTCATATTAAGTAGGTAGGGCTGACTATTTGTGACAATGAGGGGAGAGGGGAGGTAAAAAATTTAAAAAGCATGACGTCATTTATGGATGACAATTTGGGCACTTGTAAAATGTAAAAATAACATAAGGCTATCAAAGCCTGTATCACTATCAAACTATTTACCAGCTAACCATTATCTTAAACTAAATACCTGCCCAAAAATAACTACTAAATCTACTCTGGCAATATAAAAATTTTGGGCAGGTTGTTAGACAAATGAAGTACTTTTTCAGACTTAATTCCTTAGTTAAATTATTTTAAAATAGATTTTAATGTAATGGTGTCTTTAACCTCTGTATTTTTTGTGTGGTCAGAACCACTTAGGATTTAGCTGTTAGTTACTCATCCAAGCTGGTTAGTCTTACAGACTAGAATCAAAATCACACATTTATTTTGGGCTAATGATTTGAGCATGTATTTAACTTATTATTCCATTTCTTTTGGTAATATTTTAAAAGTTTGTTTAGTTCAGAATGACTGGCATGATATTAATGTAAATTCATCCATTTTGTGGTCAGTACAAAACCTGATACCCCCACTCCTATACCTTGGAGTTATGTGAACTAAAGAACACCCCACAGATGCAAGCCATCAAACACCACGTTAGAGATGACCAAACCTGTGCCGTGCCTCGCTTACTTATTACTTCGCTATTAATACCATTGTTTGTTAAATTATATTTTCATTTGTATTCATGTAATTTAAAAAAAAAAATCACTTTCAATGCAGCATCAATGGCTTAGATGACAGGGAATATTTGGGACCTCACCCTGTATGATCAAGGGCGATGGCTGTATGCTGTTTCCTTAGGTATCAGCCCAAAATGCAGTCTATCACCTGGTCATGTGCTGTAGTTATTGCATCTCATAGCTTCAAAATTTCCCTTTTGTTCACTATGTTCCTTGCTGAAACTGGTAAGTTACAACTCATACCAGATGTATGTGTATGTATGTATATATATATATATGTATATATATATATATATATATATATATATATATATATATATATATATATATATATATATATATATATATATAAATGATAAATAAATGTGTGTGTGTCAATCACATTAAAGGCCATTTAACAATTTGTGCAGCTGGTCAGTGCAGAGATCAAGAACTAACTGGATACACCACAGGCCCAACACTTTACACCTCTCCAGGGTTTGAACGTGATCGACAGTATGACTACATTGGGTATGCTAATATTTTTTTCAAATTACAATTGCATTTTATTTTAAACAATTTTTTTGTCAAAACATTTAGTAAATCACATGTGATGTCAAATGCTTCACAATCTCCCTGTCTTCTTATTGTAATTCTTCTTTATTACTGTTATATTTTTAAATTTTTTTTTTAAATTTATTTTCTTATTAAAGTTTTATAATTTTAATCTATAACTAATATTGGAATTGTTATAAAATAAAGTTTTTAATATTATCTTAGTCATTAACCATTTAAAAGCTATTTTATTACCATAATTAAAACAAAATGTTTCCAGGGATATTTCACAAAAGTTATGCCGTGTACTGTTCCGATCAGCTTATGATGAAGACAGTCTTAAAATTCAGGTCATTGTCTCCGATTTGATGCCCAGGAATTCCAGAAATGAATGTGAAATTGGAAATGTGGTCACCTTTTATGATGGTACTTTTAACAAATATTCTTTAATTATTCTTTTCTTACAATAAATTTAAATTTCTAAAATTACATATCAAATATGCCAGTTTTAAATTTCACCACAGTATGTTATAGTTTACTTATTTTGTGTAGTGAGAGTTGCCCTAATATCGCCTGTGGAAAAACAAAAATAAAGTGTAAGAAAATTACATTTTTTTAAATTCTAGGCTCATCGACTGATTACTCAGTGCTGAAAGAATTCTGTGGCCAAGAAACACCAGTTATTGAGAGCACAGGCAACACGGTCCTTATGGTATTTCAATCAGAACACATTTTGTTAAATAGATACAGAGGATTTCAGTTAAAATATTCCAGCTTAGATAGTAAGTATTCTTGTGCATTTTAATGATTTTAAAAATGTGATTATTTATAGCAGCATTGACAAAAGAGGTTACTATCAGATCTCTTTATGTTTGGCTAATAGTTAAGTGAATAAAATAAACCGGTAGTGATCTCCCCTAAACTTTCTCGAATATTCTTATATAAAACAACAGGGGATGGTAACTGGGGATATAGTTATGATTTTTAATCCATTTTAAATACTAAAACTTTTAAAAATAGAATAGAATCTCAGTAAAAAACAATTGCGCACCAAGCGAACGCCTAATAAAGGTGTGTATAATAGTGCGCAATATTATTAGTACTTTTAAAATTTACATTAGTTTTTTGAGAAATCGGAAGTAGCGTAAATTACTACTTCCTGTCAACGGAAATTACTCAAAATTTAACAGAAGGTAGAGAATTAGATCTTTTACTTACATGTGAAATTTCATTTATCTATCTGAAATAGTACTCAAGTTATAGGCTTTTAAAAAATTCAAAGTAGGAAAAGTACCACTTCCGGTTATCGGAAATCGCTCAAAAGTTGATACGGATCTACGATTTTGATAAAATACTTATATATGAAATTTCATCAACCTAGCTGTAACGGTACTCAAGTTATCGTGTTTACACACGGACAGACAGACAGACAGACACACACACACACAGACATACGGACAAGATTGCAAAATTATGTTTTTCCGTATCAGTGAGGTGTAAAACGTCGAGATTTGTAAAAATCTCGATTTTTTTTTTTTGCACGATTACAATACTTTCTCTATACTACGTATATACGAGAAAGTAAAAATGTAGTTGTAAACAGCATTCCCTCTAAGAAAAAAAAACTAGTGTGCATCGTATATTTTGTCTGAATGGTGTTCTTAAAGTCCTATACAAGGATATATTTATTTTATAAAATGACTGTGCGGCAGGTTAAAAAATACTGCGCTACCGCACAGCTTAGAGGGAACATAGGTTGTAAAGGAAGTTTGCAATGAGTTAAAAAAACTAGATTTACATTTAAAAGTTATTTTATTGTGCTGATGTTACTTATTAAACTACATGAAAAGTTTCCCTTTTGGACATGAAAATTTAATTTGGCAGACGAAGTAGAGTTCATCTGTTTATGCGACCTTGGCATATGAAAGGGTAGTGTTGTCTTATTTTCAGAAATATGTCCAGCTGCCTTTACTTTCCCTATCTGAACTTGGTACACGCTGGCACTTCCTACAGACTTGAGTTCTTATATGACTCTGATTACAGTAGTAGCGTGTTCTACCATCTTGCTCACTTCGATGGATATGAAAGGGCAGAGGTGAAATCAATGTAATTTTACAATTCTTGCTGGGAACTCTTTATGAGGAAGATTAACAATCCCCAATTCCTAATATGACAAAATTTCCATTTTTCTAGCCCATTTCAGGCCAGGATGAAAGAAAGTTTTTTTTTTAAAATATATTTTTGCCACCTCTGATTATTTAGCACTAAAGGCAGAAAAACTTTTTATAATCTTATAATAATAGTACACTTACGTTATTCTTCCTAGGAGGAGGATATGATGTTTACAAGTCATCAACATCAGTAGGTAAGTATATACTTAGTTAAAACATTTGTGATTAAAGACGTTTGTTTACTTTAACATACTATTTCATCATCAATTCTCTGGAGCATAGGGACACAACGACACATTTCCATCGTACACCCAGTTCTGGGTGATTCCTACATGTTGTTTCCATGACATTCCAGCTGCTTCTAGTTCACTGACAGCTGACCTGTACTATTAGCTCACTGTCATTGATGCACCAAAAACCTTTCATTGAATTCTGTTTCACTAGAAGAGTTTGAGTCCTTTGTTAGGCTTCATTTCTTAAAAAAATACTTAATAATTTTTATGTTCCGTAATAGCTTTTACATTTAGGAGCAGCTGTCTGTAGCTGTTCAAGTACTCAAAAAATTGTCTAGCCTGGCACTAAACACAAAATATAACTTATTTTAATATCAACTGAAAACAGCTCTCTGACCTATTGATTAATTCAAACTGATTACTTTTTGTATACCAGACATTTACATAACTTTACACTACAGCAAATATTTTTTAATCTCTTTGCAGCTTTCGCAAACAATTGTAATTTTTTTTATTTGCCAGAATTTTAGGTAAAATTAACTTACAACATAGGTTCTTTTTAATTTGTAACTATCCCTAATTGATGCATTAAAAAAAATCAATAAATACTATTTTCCATAAAATTTAAAGTATTCTTTATGTTACTTTAACAGTGAAAACAAATCTGCTGATTACAGCTGTTGTTGGTTTAATGATTCTTTCTTTAAAGTTTTTTCTCTTGCAGTTGTAGACCATATAAAAAAATTTGATTAAAAAATCTACATCAGTTAATTAATATCAGCATAATGACTCATACCTCAAGTTTCTTTGCACACATTTCCTTAACTTAAAAACGTTATATCAAGTTAACAGGACCACTCCCTTCCATTGGCCTAAACTATTGGATTTTCTTAAATTGCTTGTGATAGTAACAGTTTAGATAATTTCTGTATGTTAATGTACCATACCACATGATACTTCTTAGTTTATTTATAAGACGATTGATTTAGATTTATGTTTAAAATGTTTCTACTTTTCTTGTAATCTCACAGGTATAGGAACAATTGTAGGTGTCGTTATACCTGCTGTGATATTGTATTGTGTTCTCTTTGTCTTCGTCTACAAGAGATGCAAATACGCACAACGGGTTAGTCTTCCTTTACTCACTTTATTTGAGTTTTATTTTTATTCATTAGGCAATCAATTTTTGCAAAAACTATTAACAATCGTTTGAGTGGCTTATTTAACTTCATTGATATTTTTTAACAATTACTTAAATTGAGGGACAAAGAGATACATGGCATATGGCCAAGCTATTTTAGGCCAACAGATGTCTTGATTATGTAGAAATAAAAGAACTTTCAAATTTAATAACATGTGTTTTAAGGATTTTTTGGTATTTTTTTCTGTATGAGCATAAAACTCCATTATAAGTGATTTTTCTATGTTAAAAAAATGAATCATAAATGTTCAAAAGGGCTAAATATTTTCATAAAGCTATTTGATTGGTAAAGGAAGAAATTCCAATAGTAGCCACACAGGCATAGGGTATTGGGAGATTCAGACAAAACTTTTATTCTAAATAAACAAAATGAGTAACTTTTTAAACTCTGTGCAGGCATGATTTCATTAATTACTTTTATTCATGTTTTTTTGTAGGCCCGAGAAAACCTTTCAAACCCTGCTGCCCCTCCGGTAGAGATGAGCATGGCCACCACGTTAACCCTACTCGACCCAGGATGCAGAGGTCCTCTCCTCAACAGCCAACCTGCGCTCAACGGACACGCCAGAACAATCATGAACGACTGTCCCAACATGACCATGATGGTCCCACCCAAATGCAGCATCATCAATCACAGTCAGCAGCCTCAGAAAAAACGTCGAGTGCGCCACCCCGCCGGAGATTTAAGGAACGGGGAAGTGGTGTACCTCCCGCCTCCGCTGTTATTCACTGGAAACGTCTCCGCCGTGGTGGATGACGCTTGCTCAGGGTACGGCTCCGAAAGGGACGAATCCTTGCGGCTTTTCTCACAAGACCCGTCTGGTGTTTATTATGCTGGGAACGTCGACGAGCATGGTATTCTTCATCCGCCAGAAGGTCAAGGATATCCGGTTTACCCATTGGCGCCAGCACCGTCGATCGCGTCGTCCTCGCTCATTCAAAGTTATCTTGCCCATCATATAGAGGATGATCGCAGGTCACGAGGCAGCAGTAGAAGGTCACCGTACACCAGTGGGAGGAACTCTCCCCGGGAAGGAAGCAGCGGGCGGGGGTCTCCTTTTAGAAATAGGGGCACCAACCCTATAGCAATCTACAGCGGAGCTTCTGTTCTACATAGTTATCTGGAGCCAGAAGGTCAGACTTTTACCTATTATGGTATGATCGATGGCATCGGCGGTGAGGCTAGAGAAACAGACCCAGGGCTTTCAAACATGAACAGCAGCACAGAGTACGTAGATCAAAGCTTAGTGGTACCACCCGTGCCATCGTACGAGGATAGTCTGAGTTTAATAATTTCGTCCCCACCATCGTATGAGGAAAATAATGATTTACAAGCCCCGCCCTCCTATGAGGATGCAGCAACTGGTAAATATTCCCCCAACTATGCTAAATTGTGAACTAAAGGGGAGGTAATTGTTTTACTATGTTTTTTTTTTTTTGCTGTTTACAACTGTTGAACTTGTACATTTTGTTGAAGCTCTTTTTTAATTTTAATTCAGGTCTTAAGATACGTTATTTTTTTTATTCTTGCATAGATAAAATATTCTCATTTTTTTTTTTTAAAAATGAGTTGAAACCTAAAATTTGACAAAATAGAACATTAACGCATTTAAACAGCTGGTTTTAGCTATAAATTCAGTGCAGTGTTTTTCTTGATGGAGGCTGTTGTTGCTATTTGTTGTCCACATTTCTCAAGCCTTTTGGCGCTCCCACCTCATTTGTTACCTAATGGTTTGTTCCATTGTTGTTTTCTCTCTGTTTTGTTTTTTAAAAGGTTTTCCATTTTGTTGATTTGTGATATTAAAAAAAAAATTGTGTGCTTGCCATGTTTCTCAGCTGGTCATTGTCAAATCTGCTTAAAATTGAAAAATTAATAATTTGAGAGGATAAAATTAAATTAATCTTATCAGTTTAGATTCTAAAACTCTAAACGTTAATTCAATTTTTAATTTATCAAATACATTTGTTGCATAGTTGTTTTTTTTTACTTGAAAATGTAACTAAAATAATTATAAGTAGTATTTTCAATACCACTCTCTGTAAGATTGCCCAAAATTACTACAAATGACTGATTGCTGTAAGATAGTGAATTATAGTCAAGGTGTTACATATTATTATACAGTATTTCAGCATGAAATATGTTCACATTAAAATACGAAGTATCTTTAGGGTATACACAGGGGAGCCATTTTCTTTGACAACAGCATAAAAGGAATTGTATCACTGCTAAAAGGGATTGTATCACTGCAAAAAGGGATTGTATGACCGACATTTGTGCCCTCGGAGATTCTGCCAAAATGAATGTCCATAAGAGAATGTGCGACCTATACCTCGTCCATGAGATGATTGTAAGGCTAACACTAACATCCCAGAGAGGATTGTTACAGTCATTATTTCCAATAGATACATGTAGTCATTGGATGGGCTTAGAAACATCATTATGACTGTCTATCTGAACCCAGATCTAGAATTGTTATAGATATTAATCGCTCTTCCGCACAACCATCTCATTATATCATAGTTACATTTTTTTTTCAGACTGCTTTTTTTTTTTACAACTTCAAACCAGAAGCAACTTACTTATGTTTGTTTTTTAAAAAATTACATTTTTTAAGTTCCAGTTAATAAATAATATGCAAATATTTTAATTTTTAATTTACCGCTTTTCACATGAATTCATAGAATCGAGTATTATTTGTTTGTTAAACCAATAATTGTCTTAAAAAATGTGATTTTAGTCTTGTGAAGTTTTATTGTTTTTTTTTGCTTTAAAATTTTATATTTAAGTTAATGATATTCTCAGTCCCCCAATCTTGCCACCCTGCTTCAGCATTTATTAATTTAATAAAATAAATATTTGTAAAGGACAGTTTACTTTAAAAGTAGCATCATTTTAAAATGGTGAAGTTGTAATTCATTTTATGCTAACAATACCTTATTATATGTCCCAGGCCCTCTTTAAATTTTGGAACACTGATCTTAGGCAGTTGCTTTTGAGAAACTGCTGATCTTTATTTGCTATTTATCTAGCAAAATCAGTGGCTAGTGTAATATTTAAGAAAGAAATCGGCTATTAATAATTTTGGTTGTTATGCATAAAAAACTTCTCCACATTAATATCACCATCATTATTGTGAAAAGGCATTTTTGTCAGATAATTCCATCTTGCCTTATTAATTAAAATAACATCATACATGATAAGTTTAAATATGTCTTCGTATTGAGAATGCTTTTTTTCTTTATTCTATACAACTGTAAAAAAAAAGTAAAAATTAAGGCATTACATCTGAAAGTTAATTATACTAGTTCGCAATTTAAATATAGAAAAAGACCCAAGTTATTTAGTATTTTGCCAGGTCTATATATAAGTAGAGCCTTTGTTTCCTCTCTTTTTGAATATGTTATACATTATTTTTCCTATACATTTCTTTGTTAAAGCTGTTAAATAGAAAAAAAATGTATTCAGTGTTTTAGATGTAAAAAGTAACCAAAGATATTTTCTTCTTACTAATGTAAGGGGCTTTGTTGTTCTACTGCTGTATTAAAAATAAGTGTTTACAGATATATTTTTTGCCATTTTGTGTAATTTAATCTCAATTTGGCAATATGTTAAGTTTTGTTGATGTTTTTTAAAAAAAAGGTAATTCAAACTAGTGTAATGTTATACAATTTTTTTTTTCTATCTGGTTTTTAAAATTACCATTTCAAGAAGTCAAATTAATGGACTCTGTCAAGCTTTATAACTTAGATTAGTTGGTGGTGTAGGTGAAGTAAAGTTTCTGTGTATGAAGGAATCGTGTGGCCAGTATAAGCACTGGCCTCTTTTTCAATTATTCCTGACTTTTTCGTCCATTGATTAGGTGGGCTCTGGAATGTTTCACAGTTGTGAGCCTGAAGCTGAACTCATGACTTTCAGGCTCAATTTCTACTCGGTACCATAAGTGGTTTATAAAATTTCTGAAAAGTTTAAAAACTACAGGATTTATTTTATTATACAAATGTTATGTTTACAACGATTGGTTTTATTTCTCAGTAGTTATTGTTTATGTAAATCTTATAATTGAAATTTTTTAAATCTCTCATTACTGTTACTGTCTTTATACCTGAGATGTCGAATGTTTGAAAATCATCTGGCAGAAGTGAGTAAAAACTTAAGTCTGCTTTGACATAGGGCCTTGTATAGTGTCATAAAAATTGGTAAATGATAATTAACAGCCCTGTACCAAAATATTTTCATGTCTTTATTTTGCTAATTTGAAAACTAATAATTTACCCCCTCCCCCCTTTCTTTTTTCAAACCAAAACTGGATATCTTAATAGAAGGTTGAATATATCTAGCCATCAGTTATATATATATATATTTTAAGTACCCCATGTAATTGGCATCTGACAAAACTGCTTCATTTGGCTCTAGCTGTTTTCATGCATACTGTTTTTTTAGCCATACAAATTTGATTTGCAGCTCTATATATAGAACTCTAATATTTTAGCATGTACGTTATTAGAAGCAGCTTAAAGTTTGGTTCAGGGCATTACTAGTAGTGCCCACAGCTACATAATTTAGATTAATAACCCATTGTACGAGTATTTTTTTTAAAGTATGTGTATGTTGCTCCTGTTGGGTCTGATATTACAGCATACAGTTATTCTACTTTGGCTGACTTACAAATGGCATATAAATCAGTTTACATAACAGAAATAGACTTTTTAACATTTATTTTTTTATCACTTATTGAAACTTTTTAGCTATTTTTTTTTCTTTTAAATAGTTTGTGATCATATACATTTTTTTTTTACTGATAATAGTGAAGACTAAAATAGTGTTTTTACAAAAAGTTTTTTTTTTGTTTCTATTTAGCTTCTTCTGTTGCAGTTTTCTTTCTTACTTGCTTACAAACTCTCTCAATTGACTGTGGTCTTTTTTGTCTTATTTCTCTCAATCTTTCTCACCATCAATATACTCTCATTTTCTTAATTTTTCCTCCTGCCTCTCTTATTATTCATGCATCTACATGAAGGTCATTCATTTCTCTCTTTGGGGAATCATATTCTCCATTTTTTTTCCCCACTCATTCTGTACCTCATATTTTTCAGTAAATGGCAACCTCTAATTTCTGTAAATTAATAATTATTATTTCATGATTAATGAAAATATTTCAAAATGGCATAAGTACATAAAATAAGTGAAATATTACCCCAGATTGTGTGTACACATTAGCTACCCCTATTTGCTTGTTGTAAATGGTCAGCAGATGTAATTCATTAAATGGCTGTTTACTAAAAGGTTGTTCACTCCAGATTTTGCACACATAAAAGCACCATGTCGTTCATTTTACAAGTAGAAATATTTTCCCAGAACAGTTAAGGCAAACCAAAGGAAAAAAAAAATGTACCTCATTAGCATATAAAGTGACTTAAATTCAACACAGTTAAGTGAATTGTTAATCATTATTTTTTATGAATATTGATTTCCAATCTGCATTAGGGTCTCAGTTTCTTTTTTATTGTTTGATAATATATTGGTGTTTTGTTTTAATTTTTTAAAGTCTATTATAATATTAATCTTCTTTTTTTTATATTTTGTTAATATATTTGTAATATACGCTATCTTTCTAGTTAATTTATGACTCATAGAAATGGCATTATTATCCTCATTTACCATGTATACCATCTGTGATTTTTTTTTCTGGACACTAAATTACAAAAAAAAGGAGTCACATTTTTAAATAATTTTTTTTTTAAACGGAGGATTAAAATCTGAAATGTTTTTTTTAACCTGAAAGATGTGAGAAATGGTATTTCCCAGCCATATTTACCATGTTTATTATATTTTTTGTTGCTTTTACTCAGCATTGTTTGATTATAAGCAGTTACTAAAGTGAAAGGGGTTATAAACTGTAAGAAAAATTGCTATGTTGTAATAAGTGAAATATGATGAATGCTGTGAAGTGTTATGTGTACAACAGTCAAAGGCAAGCAGTTCAGAAGCTGCATGCAACTCTTATAAAGACTAATGGTGACTGCTATGATGAGTATAGTAAAATATTTTATCAAAGAAAAAAATGGAAAAAGGTGTATGTGTCTTTGTTAAATTGCAGATTTTATTGTTATAAATTTTCAAAAGTGAATTATTAAATTGCAATGTCCTAAAAACTCTGGTAGGAATATTTTAGCTTAAACTTAATGTCAGGTGGCATTATTAAAATAACTTACAAATAATGAACTTGAGTTAGTGGCAACCATCTATAGATTCTTTACTGCACTAGAAAGGGTTAATTTTTAATTAAATGAGTTATGCATTAGTAAAAAGGGCTAATATCTCATTGACTAAATAGATACTGACATAATAACTAGATCAGTATAAAATTTTTATAGACGGCTTAATTTTTTTTAGGCTTTTTTCCTCTTACTTTCAATGATTTTTTTTGTTATTGCATGAATAATTGCCATACTAATCGTCTAGTGCTCATATTTTCTTGCCCTGTATACATTTGCTTAATTTTCAGTTTGGCCATCCTAATACATGATCACACAGGAATATCCTCTGATATATTTTTCACTGTTGTTTTAGTCGCGAGAACTGAAACAGCTGTGATTATTAATTTTTCACCAAATGCTGGTATTAATTGCTTGAAGCGTTACATAAACTATAAAATTAAGTAACACAGGTCTTCCAATTCAATGCTTGAAAGATACTCTCTTGCAGTGAGGGAATAATAAATAGAAAACATTTTAATAAGAATCATCCCTTGAAATTAGTTTTTGTTAAAATATTTTTTTTCCATTTACTTGCGGTTACCTGCAATTTGTTTGTGATGAGTTATTTGTGATGAGTTTTTTTAAAAACTTTAATGTGCAAAGTTTTCATGTGTTGCTGTTTTGTTTTTCTCTGCTGGCATGCCAACTGTTACCTGGCATCCTTTTTGGTTTGCATTTTTGTTTTCAATTATCGACCTAAAATGAGTAAATGTGTTTAAAATATACATAAATGTATTCATTTCTCATGAAGATGAGAATTTAAAAACCATTGAAAAACAATTTTTAAGTTTCATTGATTATTTAGATGTTATTTAGAAATATCATCTACGCTGGCTTTATAAAAACATGATTAACAGAGGTGTTTTCATTACATTTTCTTCAGAATCTGTGTAGCAATAGCATAATAAGAATTGAAAAATATACCCCAGGCGTAAGGATGTATTGTAATATAATAATTTTTTAATCAAACTGACAATAACATGGAGATAAAATTTATTTAAATAGTTTTCTTTTTAATTTGATTTTTTAAAGGAAAGTGCGGCATTAAAGGGTTACACAAATGGATTTGTTATTGACTGTGGAAACTTACAATTAAAATAAAAATGAATAATTTACTAAGGTATTATTGATTATATGGATTGTATTTTAAATTATAAAAATTTCAATGATTTTTTTTTCCCCAAAGGGTAATTGAATTTGTTATTTTAATTACATCAATTTACAAGTAAATAAAAATCTTGTATTTTGTTTTATTGATTTTATGCATTGAAATTGTAACATTGACAAATGGTCATTAATAAATGATCTAATAAAACTAAAGCAATTTTTTGTGTACTTAATGCTTTTACTTACATAATATGTAGTCTACTTATAAAGAATGCAAATTTTATTAAATATGAATAATTATTATTAATTAGTCGTCAGATAAGGACTTATTCATGTCCGATATATATAGGTCCTTTACTAAAAATGAATGTTATGTCATGACCAGTTCTCAACACGCCAGTATGCAGAATTACATGCTATCGTGATTGATGAAGATGAGCATTAATTAAGGTTCTAATACATAAATGTGGCTGGAAAGGAGGTAAGTTCACGCATATTTTAGTAACTGGAGATACAAACAAGAATTTATTATGTTGATGAATTTGACATATTGTTAAAGGCAAGGAAATTGCTAAAAGACCCGTGCTAGCTGGTAGCAATGATAGATGTCTATGCTAACGCCTGCATGATGGGCATAAAGAGCAACAGTTAATCATTTTGTTTGTCATTTGATCTCGATCTAGGTTTAGATCTAATTTTTATTCAGGCCAAAAAAATAAGTCTCCAATTAATATTTCTCCTTGTTGAATATTTCTAAGTTTTAAGCCTAGGACTTTATTGATATTCTAATGAATGGGGTTTTTTTTCAAGTTGTGTCATGTAACGCTTTTTAAACTACCCCCCCCCCCCCCTAAAATGACGACAATGGTTCGTTTTCTAACATTACGATTTTTTCATAAAACTAAAGTGTGACGTTACATTATCTATTATCTGAACCCCCCCCCCCCTTCCCCCTCATCACACAGTCACAAACTTAAGGAAATATTTTTATAACTAAGGAGTATATCTGGTGTGTTTGGGGGTCATCCATAAATGACATTACGCTTTTTTTGGACGATTTTTACCTCCCCTCCGTCACACATCGTAACAAAAAAGCCAGACCCCCCCCCCCCTAAAATGCCGTCACACCTCAGCCTACAACCCCCCCCCCCCCCTCATAATTGCAGTTGGATTTTAAAATATAACATTGCTTTTTTATAATGCAAAAGTGTGACGTCGCACCATCTGAACCCCCCCCCCTCCCCCTCATCACACACCGTCGCAAAATTAGGGAACCCCTACGAGTGTGACGTCATTTAATGGACGACCCCTTGTTAGATTGCAGACTTTTAAATTAATATGTAGATTCTAAATTTAAATAAAACATCCATTCTACATTTAATTATTATCAGTTAGACCTAGAAGATCTAGAAAATATAGTACCTGGTGCTTTAAGTAAATTTAAAACTGTTTTTAAGAGGGAGCAGACTTTAACAATACTACCTCCATTTCATGATACCTCCCTCAATAACGAAAGCGGAAGTTGATTGAGTTACGATGGTGCTCAGTCAGACACGTACTCCAAAACAAACTGTCATCACATCTGTTTGTTTGTTATTATTTACTTGATCAAGCTAACAACTTCCTTATTTTTTTGTATTTAGCGACCTAAAATGGAAGCATTATATCACCAGACAAATAAGCTGTTACAAGAGGTAGACGTTAAATAAAATATTAAAATAAATTTATTTAATTTTAATGGAGGCGGCCGAGTTTGACGAGAGTTCAGTCAGTCAGACTCAGTCACACTCACATTTTCAGACACTTTCACTTTCAGAGTTGGGTTCGATCATCGACATTTAATTTAGTGATTAGCATTTACTAATAATTAATAATTAGTAGGCCTAACCTAGTCTACTATTTTAATAATGATTCATTATTGTTGACAGGAAAAAAAGAAAAGCGCGTTTTTCTGAAAATATTAAAATAATTTAGAAATTATTTGAAATTATATATTTATTATATTTTTAGAATGTTTTTTTTTTACATTACTACTGTTAACAGTTGTCAGTAGGCTTATAGTTTTATTTTTTTAAAAGATGCAAATCCAGAGGCGCAGAGGCTTCTATTATTCTCCTAGCTATTCTATATTCTATAATATATAAATCTAGTGCCACCCTAGGTATCAATTTCTCAACATTAAGTGACATTTGCCTAAGTTTACCAGCTTTATGGTGTAAATTGCCTGTAACGATTTAATTAAACAATGTCAAACTAAAGACTGACAAACCTAACTAGGCCTACTAATTGTTTATATATAGTTAATCAATGATAACAGAAGAAAAAATGTTATTTACTAATGTTGTTTTTCATTTGTAAACCTTACCTTAAATTTCCACTGAACTCTAATGATGATGGTAAAACTTGGCTATTTGTAATTTTACTATGGATAAAAACTTCTTCCTATCAAAGTCCGTGATGAATCAGTTAATACTTTATAGTATTAATTTATCGTATTTCAGCAAAACATAAATCTTCTTCTAAAAAATCCCTTGTGGTTTATTGTACTGTAGCTATCTTCTAATATTGAATTCTTATTGTTAGGTCCATGGGGAGTTAGGTAGAGTTGAGAGGGCTATAGGAGCTGGTGATGCCCACAAGATTGAGAATGAAGTTCAGGCTCAGATTGACCATATCTTCAGCAACTGTGAACGGTTGGATATCCTGGTGATGAAAGAGCCCCCTGCCAGGAGAAACAATGCAAAGATGAAAGTTGATCAGTTAAAATATGACTGCCAGCATCTGCAGAGTTCCATGCGTCACCTACAGCACAAAAGGTACTTTAGATTATTCTATGCAATGATTCAATTCATTTATAATGTTTACTAGCCTTCCCAGCCAGCCCTGCACTGGCTTTTGTGTAAAGGGCAGTAACTTGTGTGTTTATTATTAAGCATCACATAGCTAGAGCTCCCCGGGTTTTAGAAATGTAAATTCCCAATTAAATGTCAATATGCAAGTATTGACGTTTGAGAAAATATAATTTTTTTGGCAGAAACCTTTCTGGGAGTATTCTCAATAACATATCAACGATTTTTATGCAATCAGATGAGTGGTGTAGTAATGCATAAAGGGCAAAGGCACACACATCACACATACTTTCATTTTTATATATATAGATAAAAAAAGAAACCCAAAATCAAATGTAATTTCTTGTTTTGAAAATGTTTTTAAAATATCTTACTTCATTTTTAGGTATAAAAAAATTTCTTATGTTTTTGTGTGGAGTTTAGAAATTATGTAATAAAAAAATCCCCTTGTTACACTTTCAGATAATATATGCAGTAGATTATTTTTTGGTTTGATTTATTTGTAATAGCACTATCTGTGCAACAGAGGTAATTTTTTTTACTTTTGAAGTATTAAACAGGCCTGTAAATGAAGTATTTTGTAAAATTAATGAATCTCCACTCTGCTTCCAGACACATGAGAGAGCAGGAAGAGTACGAGAGGGAGATGCTGCTGACAAAAACATTCACCACCAACGAGCAGGACACCGCCATCATGATAGACCCCGCTCTGCAGCACCATACCAAGCTCAATGACTCCAGCAAAAACCTGGACAATCTCCTGGGCCACGGCAGCAGCATCTTGACCAACCTCAGGGACCAGCGCATGACGCTCAAAGGTGCGCACCGTCGCATTCTGGACATTGCCAACACCCTGGGCTTGACAAATACGGTTATGAGGCTTATAGAGAAGAGGTCAAGTCAGGATAAGATAATCATGGTGGTTTGTATGGTCATATGCTGTATAGTTATGTACCTTGTATGGAAATATTTCACCTGAAGTTCATCGTAACTAGAAAAATTTGTATTTATCTACAAAAATTGTGTATGTTTTAGTCATTTAAATTGAGAAAGGTTGTAGATAATAGATTTGTATGATTGACAAGAGCTGACAATGCAGAATTTGAAAGTAAAAATATATATCAACAGATATACCTTTATCTTGCTTTAAATTTCATGGTTTGCAGGTCTAAATTATGTCTTGCTAATGTCAACTATTTTTTAAAATACTTTTTATGACCCTATGAATGATGAATATTGTGTTTAAGTCTGGTGTGATATGACCATGACAGAATGTAGTTTGCAAGATTAAAATCATTTTATCAAAAGAATCAATCTATAACGACAGTAATTTTCTAATATAATATAGCTTATTCATCATTTTTACAAGTTGAAGTTTTTGAGCTTGATAGTTCCAATTGGTGACTTGATAAATCCTGAACTCTTAATTGTGAAGAGTTCCTAGAAGTTCTCCATCACCACTTTTGCCCTGCTAATCATTCCATAGCAGTCACCATACATACACCAAATGTTCAAACTAAATTGTAAATAAACAAAAACCAGCTGTAAATATTTTGCTGTGTTGAGTGTGGCTGTGAGCATCAGGCTGTTTGATAGTTTTGTCTTGTGACTGTTCTCCATACCCCTTGAAAAAATTTATTTATATTGCAATCTTATTTAAATAAGAATTTTTTTTTTATGCCTAGTCCTACCTTAACATGTCCAGCCAAAGTTATTCATACATTAAAACACAACCTGTATGTCATAATTGTAAGATGGTATATAAAGGGCTATTTTTCCCCCCTAGGAGTACTCAACTTAAATTTTATATACAAAACAGAATAGTGTTCTTGTATGTATTGATCACTATTCAGAGGATTCACCATGCACGAGAAATTTAGATCTTTAGATGATTAATCTGGCCAAATACTAAGTAAAATCTGAATATAGAACAAACTTTCTCATCCACATTAAAGATCACTTGGTCTTCATGATTATACCTTACTTAATAAGTATGAAATAAGTTGATATAATGTTGATTTGTTTTATGCATACACTATGTAAAAAAAATGGTTGTTTTGTCAATGATAATATGAAGGTTTTGATAGATAATCTGTTTTTATGCTTGAAGAGTATTTGTTTAATAAGTGTCTGGTTAATTTGTTTTTGTGGGAATGGGTTAGTGTTGTAACATTGTTACCTTTAACAAATTGTATAGATAAAAATGCCTATTATGTTTAACATTGTTTCTTAAATCTAGGTATTAATTCTAGTGTTTGAAGGAAATTTTTATTCTGAATGACTTGTAAGACATTGTTTCCCTCCCCTTCCCCAAATTTTTTTATGCAGTGGCATTTTTTGAAATGCATACTAGTACTCAATTTAATTTTTAAAAATCAATTAAGTTTCAGAACTCCTTCCCTGTGTAATGGAGTCAAATTGTTAACTTCATTTTGCTTTGTATAATTTTTTTTTTTAATTTTAAAAATACAGATGAAAATATAGATGAGCAATAAAGTATTAAAATTTTATTATTATTTTGGTTTTTGTTCAATTTCAGTTTTAAATTTTAGTCATCTAGCCTTGAGACTTGATCTCAATAAAAATGCACTGAATAGATTGTTTATTTTGAAGTGTTATAGTAGTGCTCAGGTTGTCACAAACTTATCACTAGCATTAGCATTATTTCTAATGTTAAATTAAATATTATGTTAAATTGAATAGTATGTAAAAGCAAAATCCAGACCCGCCCATATAAAAACTGACTTGATACAAAATTTTCTTGATGCAGAATTGGTGGTCATCTAGTTGCATTTATTTTTGTAAAAAGAAATTTTAATAAGTACCAACCTATTAATAGAAAACACCAACCAAACCATTGTGGATTATATTGTAAGCAGTTTTATGGTAAAATATTTCAAAAAGCCACAGCAGGATAACATTGGAATTCATTTATATAAAGCTAAATAACAATTTAAAAAAACACCCTCTATACAAATAAGTAACCAAACTCATTGGTACATAATTAACTAACTAATGAAATACAGCCAATAGAGGTTATCACATGACACTGTTAAAATATTCAACATTTTAAACACTTGTTGAGATAATGATAAACTTATCAATTTATATTCTAGATAAGTTAGTTAAGTACTAAATTCTTCAACTGATAGATCTAGCTTTTTAAAAAAAAAATGTATTATTTGTTAATATTTTATATTTTATGTCAAATCAGAATATCATACAAACAAAATAAAATAAAAACAACAATAACCCAGAGTCAGTATGAATATAAAACAACGGACCCTCTCCCTAATGTTATGATGGTTGCATTGTAAAATGGCAGAGTTCTAAAAACATGTCATGAAAGAATATAGGTCAGTCTAAAGTCATCAACATCAAAAATATTGGCAGGACTGGGGAATTGCAAAAGCTTAAATTTCAAGAGAAAATCTAATAGGGCAAAACACTTTGTGAATTTAAAAATGTATAAGAACAGTTTGATTTATTAAACTAAATTGCATGGTAAAATCCGGATTAATGAAAAATATTCACAAATTGAAAAAGCAGGGAAAGTAAAAGTTTGTCTAAACCCTGTAAGTCAATACTTCTATACAGTTCAGTCACTGTTGAAGAATGTTAAGCTGATAAAGACTAGTGGTTTGTTTTATTATAGTCATTTGTTTGCTCGTGTAATTTAATTGGCCAAATTCAACTATAATTCATGTAATTTAATAGGCCAAATTCAACTATAATTCATGTAATTTAATAAGCCAAATTCAATTAGTAGTGTAGTAGCAGTACTTTTCATGGACTCTTCCAAACAAGGGGTGTCAAGTTCTTAACAATGCTAACAATATCATACTCACTTTCTAAAAACAACTATGAATACTAATTTTCTAAAATTAACACCCAACCCTAACAAGCTTATATGTAACAAGCAATAAGCTGTTCAGACTGTCCTTCCATCTGAAATACAACATGGTGAGAAAGATTCCATGGAGTTCTTCACATTCCTGATGCATTTTGTATTAAAAATATCTACACTTCATTACATAAACAGTAATATTTGTTATAACAAAATTTTAAAATATCATTCTAATTATCGAGATCACAAAAATAATCATACAAATCTGTAGGTTAGATTTGCTGCCAAGTGATGGAGAGAACTACCAGATTAAATATAAAGCAAGATATAAGTAGTAAAAACCAGGAAAATCAATCGATATGTCTAGTATATATGGTAAAAATAATTTGATATATGTATATATATATATTTGTAAATAAGGTTAATATTGTGTATAATAGTATATATAAACATGCTAGAAAAAACAATGCTGACGAATATTAAAACAATTTTCATCAAATCAAAGCCCTAAATTTAACAAGGATTGTAATCAATTACAAGCAAGAGATCCGCTAATGAAAATGTTAGAATTTACCTGTTAAACTAAAACACAGGGCGGAAAAATAGTTAAGGAAATCTGTGGACGCAGAAGGTATTCGAGGCTCTTTTAATGTTGGTATTATTAGCCTCAGCAGAACAAATCCACATTTTACGGTATTGTTTTGCCTGTTTTTTATAAGACCAAACTTTGATACTTATAACTGAAATCATTAACAAAACCTGATCCAATCTGAAAGTTAGTCAACATTTTAACTGATAAATTGACTGCAATCATAACTAATTATTATTATATCTTGAGATTAACAGGAACATCCGAGCATGACATATTATGAGACTTTAGCCTTGAATCAGCAGTTGAATTAGTAAAGATCATGTGTCACAACCTTAAGAACCTATCACAGAAACAATACATGGAAGGATTTGATGTTTACATAATTCTTGGCTGACAATACTGAGTTAACAAATTTTCTTCTTTTAAGTATTTACAAAACAGATTTTAACTTTCTCACAGCGAATTATTTTGTTAATGTTAGTGTAACAATTAAATTTTAAATTTTTTAAACATAACAGAAAAAGATGGAAAATTTTTATGTGTACGTGATTTTCAGCTAACAATACACAACACATTTTCTTTTTGTATTCACAGAATAGTTTTTAAACTTTCTTACAAAAAAGTATTAAACTTTAAATGTTCTAAACATTACAGAAAAAATAGATTGAGTGTATAACAGATGTGGCCAGTAACCAATGGTTAAAAACATTTTCTAATGATTATATTAAAATGAAAGAAATTCCATATTGCATTGTAATTATAATTGATTTAAGTAAATCACATAAGAAAAAGTGTGGTTTATAAAACAATATTAAACACTTGATTAAACAGCTTTAAAGCAATGCTTATAATAAAGCAAGTTCCCAACCACATCATACCCAAACATTAAAAAAAAGATTATTACAATTCAACATATCATTGAATGAAATAAAGAATGTGGTTTTCTCAATGTGGTTTTTTATGTGAATTATGTCAAAATAGGAAGCCCAAGTCAAATCACATATTCAATAGAAATAAAATTGCATAACTGAAGAATACAAAATTAAAAGAGGTTAATTCACAATTTAGAGTGTGATCAGAGTGGTAGAGGTCAACATTTTTGTGGTCAGCATAATAAATATTTCCAGCAATTACTCTTATTATATTTAAATTATCTCATGACCTATTCATTAACAAACATAGCCCTCCCCCCCTAATTAATTTTGCTCAAGAACTTTTTACAAAAAAAAAAGGCATATTATGATTATGTTTGATAAAATGAAACTATAGTATTGAACAGACTGGACACTTAACAAACTAAAACATATGGCTATCTGTATGCAGCTTAAATTATGAAATCGTACTAGTAATAAATACAAATTCAGCAATGCTGGTACAACGTATATTCTTACAGAATAAAATAGTAGTAAGGTTGTAAGCATAACTAGCATCTAAAACTAAGAACTATATTTTTTAGTGGTCAAAGGGTGTGGTCAATTTTTTAAAATATCAAGGTAAACCACGAATTTTCCTGAGTAGGAGTTTTGAGACAGCTCATTCAAGTTTAGTTAAAATTACCTGGACATTAAACAACATTGGGGTGAAAACTGACTGGCCATATAGGTAGTAGCTTACCCCTACATTGAATGTGTGACCCTAAAACCTTGTGACCTTTCTTCATCTAATCTAGCTATGTTTTTAATCTGCATCTTAATTTGCTTAAGCTTATAAAGTTTGCTAATTAGTGTAAAATACAATATTTGTAAAATTCTAAAATGCTGCCTGTACCTTGTCTTTGTTGACATTCAACAAACTACAGCTGATTTTTATCTATCAAAACTATATCATTTATTAAAACTGGAAATTAATGATGAAACAAAAAGATAAAAACAGTAAGGAGTCAGCTCATACAAGAGTTAAGTTATTTTATCTTTGGCTACAAAAAAAAAGCAAGTTTTTTTAAAAACAAACACAAATTATAATGTATTATGCAATCATCAAACAGAGTAGTTACTTAAAAATATGTATAAAAACTAAGATTAAGGTAATGCTGAATAACAAAATGGATGACAATGTTTTATATATCTAACTTTTTAAATGTGCCTCCAAGACCAGCAATGCCAGCGTCTACACTTTTGTTGCTGCTCTTCTCACTGTTGAGTGCCATGTTGACAAACCCAAATTTATTGTTTTCAACAAATTTGCTGTCTGATGCCAGGAAATTATCCATCCATTCCTTGAAAAAGTGAGTTAAAAAATAGATTTAATTATTATAAAAAGTGGTTAAAAATACATTTCAATAAGAACTACTGTAAAAGTGATTAAAATACCCAATTATTAAAAAAGTGAGTTAATAAATTATTTTCTAAAAGGTGATTAGAAGCAATTTATGTTTCCCTCCCACAAAAATTTTCTTTTTTTGGGGTCATACATTTATGATATTCACAAAAATATGGAATTTGTAAAATTAAAATGGAGAGAAAATTTCAAATATTTTCTATGCTTGTTCAAAGCATTATGGTTAGTTATTTTTTTATACATTCATCACTCATTCAAGAGGTAGGTTTTTTTTTTTGTAAACATGAATCTGCTTTGAAAAAAAGTTATACTTTTAATATGAAGGCTGAAAAAAGCTTTTCGGTTTTATAACATATAGTACCTAATAAGCTTATTAACATTAATTAATATTTTACCATACACATGCTCCCTACTCCCCCAATGGACATTCATATTAGATAACCCCTAACACATTTTTTTTGTTTGCTACAAATCTCTTGATAAAGAGCAGGTTGTATATCAATAACGCTGTGTTACAATGAACAACATATTACATGACACAACAGACAAAAGCAATGAACAACATATTACATGACACAACAGTAGACAAAAGCAATGAACAACATATTACATGACACAACAGACAAAAGCAATGGACAACATATTACATGACACAACAGACAAAAGCAATGAACAACATATTACATGACACAACAGACAAAAGCAATGAACAACATATTACATGACACAACAGACAAAAGCAATGAACAACATATTACATGACACAACAGACAAAAGCTTCATCTACCTTGTTACTGTAAGGCTCCAATTTTCCACCAAGGTCTTTTGGCAGGAAGTCTGGACTAATTGACTCGTGAAGTTTATCAAACTTTGAGCCATTCAGCACAATCTGAAACAGAAATTGGATGTATTGCTTTGTATTAACTATCTATGCTGAAATCATCTCTACCTCAAGAACAGTCACTGTTGTTTATGTATTTATGTTATTGGGGGAGGGGGTTCTAATCAGTGTTCCTTCTAAGCTGCGGGGTTGCGTGGCCGCGCAGTAGTTTTGATCTGCTGCGCAGTGATTTTGTAAAATAAATATATCCTTTCATAAGAGCGCGCACAGAAAATACATTTTGCACACTAGTTTTTCCTCCTTAGAGGGAATATTGGATCTAACTACACCTTTCCATTCACCCAATATCCTCCTGCATATACTACTGCTGTCCCACTAATTTAGATCTACACCTATCCCCAGTCTACAGGTGGTTTTTAAAGTTCCCACCCCAAATCAAAGAAAATGATATTTACACTTAAAATTTTTTTTGAAAATTCGACTAAACTTTAAAACCATAGTTGTCTTACCCTTTTGGTGAGTTTCTCTTTCATGAACTGCCTTATAATAGCATACACAACATCAAAAAATGCCGGTTCATTAACATAATCAAGTCTCTTCAATCTAAGTGGTACCACATCCTAGAAATAAAGACTGCATGTTACAAAGTAATATATAAAAATATAAAAACATGGTGCATGGTAAGCAGATAAAGACGGCAGTACTATGATCTGCATTTGTAGGGATATATAGGATTTGTTTTTTCTGGTCATAATTGCTGTTAGGGTTAAGATTTGAATTATTATTTCGGATGATGTTGGGGTTATGGTAGCAATAACAGGAAAAAATACTATTAATCAGTGCTGGAGTTATAAAATATTAAACACGCTAAAGCTTAGAGCCCTCCCTTTCATGGGAGTTTCCCAGAAATATTTTTTAATACTGTTTTGTCAAATGTATTTTTAAAATCTATATATATAATTCTCTTCTGGGAGACGCTAGAAAACAAGCTGTAAGCGCGCTCCCTACCACCCCACCCCTACATGGTCTGGTGAGCTGTGGTTCAAGCTAAATGTTTAAATTCGTGGAGCTGGGTTTAGTGACTGCTATTAGGGGCAAATAATTTAGTTTGAAATGATTTTAAACTTAGGGGAGGTAGCTAAGAGGAGGCTGCTTTCACTGGGGGGGGGGGGTGTAGGGTAGGGGTTGGTGAAAAGGAGGGGGGGGGTAGTATCATCCTTAACGACCTACTAATAGTGTTTGAAAGCAAATATTTTCAGTGGCAGCATTGGTACTGTCGAATTCACAAATTATGAATTACTGAAAAGTAGAAAATAAAACAACTAAATAGCGGCGTATGATATGCCTCAGGTCGGCTCGTTTATTTATTTATTTTTTCTTGCTTTTTTTTTAAATTGGTGGAGGCCGAATTCTCTTTCAATTACACTTACAAACACATTTTATGGCAAACTTCTTTTAAAAAATGCAAATATTTGGCACTGACATATAAGCTAATATGTGGACTTAGCAAGGGCTCTATTTAGGAAATAGCTTATGCCCATATAACATTTAAATCCAGCCTTGCTATTCATATAGTTTTCAGTTGCAAAAGCAGCCTCCACATATTTTCAGCTTTAACCAGAGGTACAAAACAACTGAGGTGTACCAAAACCTTCTTTTCCTGTAAATGAGGTGTAAAACAACTTTACCTGCATAATGTGCATCATTCTTTTAGCCATAGATGGGGTGATGTGGGATGCTTGCTTGAATGATACCCCCTCCAGGTTGTTAATGAGGTGGACACCATTAACCTGCGTCTCTTCTTCTTCGATCAGCTTTGACAACAGCAAAAAATTTGCCTTTAACATTTCCGTCATGGGGTATCTGTCTGGGTCCCACTTGGCTAGTTAAAAAATATTTAAAAATTCAACATAACCGCTTAATGAATACTTTACACTTATTTTCATCACAAGCGGTACCTTTACCCTGGAAAATTCGCTATGTTTTTATAAAAAAAATTCTAGATGGGATCTATTGTGACTGCATTATAAAGCAAAAAAATTAATAAAACTATAATATAACTTACATTGCAGCTACCTATTGAAAAAAAAAATCATTTAAAAAACTGAAGCATCCGGTAAATATGCACGTACCTGGTCTCATGATGACAACGCGACAGCCCATATTGTCCCTCTCCTTCAACACCTCAAATAGTCCGTCTTCCATCACATGCTTGACTCTAGATGGCTTCAAGTCATCAAACAAGTCTGAGCTATCTCTACGTGTCTCGTAATAGTTTTTCAATTGCAGAAATGCTCTCTCCTGCTCAAACTTGCGAGCGCGTAAGAACAGCAACAGGAAGTTTATGTCAGTACGGGGTTGTAGACCTGAAATTTAGTTTTAACAGAAGTTTAAAAAGATGTCATTGAAAAACACAAGGCAACAAGATTGACAAAAAATTAAAAGTTAATTTTAAAATACATTAAAAAAGAAAAGGTTACTGGTACAGTTTGGCCCAGGGTTTCATTCCCGGCAATTGTCTCTGGGGGTGATGGGGAATGATACTGGGATAGACATACCAAGGAGGGGGGGAGGGGCTCTGCCATGGAGATGCCAGATAAAATTTCTGACATGGCTTAAGGTGAAAAGACTAACTGCATAAATGAGAGCACTAGAAAAATATTGCATTACACAATTATTCTCCCTAAGGAAACAAAGTCAATAAATATAATTCCACCAGCACTGTACCAACTACATATATTGTACATGATATGCAATTCTATTGTTGAAAATGATAATAAATTTTAACTGTTGGTTATATAAAAGAAGAAAATCTTCTTCAAACTCTAGAGCAGTAACTATTTATATTATTTATATATAAATAAAACTAATGTAAAAGTGAGTCAGCAAAAGTTCTGAACAAGATTTATAATTAAAAAGTTTTTAGGGAATATGTGGTAAATATGATACATAAACTAAATTTATACACCAATACAACTAAAATATACAGAATCACTTTTGATTTATAAACAGCTCTCATTCTTTTTAAATTATTTTAAACTACCTGGAACTTTTTCCAAACGAGCTCGTAAGTTCTTTACTTCATAGACTCTAGTTTCAGGGTCTTCATTTAACTCTTTCTTTGCTTTCTCAAGCGTCTCTCCACTGAGGGAACACTTATATTTTATATCTGCGGCGCCACTCATTCTTTTGTGTTTTAGTATCTACAATAGAAGGTGTTAATTTATAGATAATTTTATAACATTAAAACTTATAGGCCTAACCTTAATTAATAATAAGAGTTAATTAAATAATAATTTGCCAAAAAAGATCTAGATCTAGAAATCTATTTATTATTTATTTAATCTTCAGGTGAAGTCTTAGTTCTAAAGACATTACAAAGAATAAGAAACATTTACTAGGGCTAGGGGCCTAATTAATATTATTATAATTAGGCCTAGGGCCTACTAATTAATAGTCTTTTAATTTAAACCAAAACAAAATATTTGGCTACTTCTTAGGCCTAATAAATAATATATACTAGATTCTAGATCTATATTCTATATAGATCTAGATCTAATAATTTATATATAATAAATAATAGATCTACTAGATTCTAGACTCTAGATCTAGTTTAGATTTTAGTTCAATAAAAGTGTAACACAGCCAACGGGGCTTAGATCTAGATTATTCTAGATCTAGATCTACTACTTTACTTTTACTTTGTTTTATTATTTTTTACTAAGACAACATTCATTGATTTTTAAATGTAATGATTATGCAATAATGTATTTAACCTGTTACTTAATAAAAATAACACTTTGGTATTAG